ATATAAGACTTTCAAAGAAAAAAATAGAAAAAAATAAAGAATTTGAAGAAACCTGTAGGATCTAAAGAACAAATAAAACTCCGAAAATAAAGCAATGTCGCTGATTCCAAGGATCCGAGCGAAGAGGAGACTGATTTTGTGGATACTTTGAAGAGGTGAAGTTGATTTAGGAGTAATGTTTGTGATTTGAGGATAAAGATTTGATTTGGGATAATGAATGAAAGCTGCAAAAAATGGGAGTAGGAAACAGTGAAGCGTGAAAAGAGGGATTAGGCGTGTGAAATTGTATAAAATAATTTTAGGCGTCTGAAATTGTGTTTGCTATTTATTCATTAAATATAACCATAAAATATAAATAAAGTTAACTATAGCTATATTATTTTAATATGAGATATAGTTTGCTATTTTCTGTAGTTTTTCCTAAATAATATTAAGGTGTTTGAAAAAGGAAAAATTGTACTCCCTCCGTCCACTATTAATTGTCATACTTTCCATTTTTAGAGTCAAACTTTAAAAACTTTGACTAACATTTTAAGATATATTTAATCATCATATTGATATGTAAAAAATTGCAATGTATAGTACTTTTCGCATAGTTTTTGAATATCTAATTTTTTGGTTTCAAAGATCGAATTAATGTAATCTAATATAACTTTGAAAATAAGTCAAAATGACTTTCGAAAAGCGCAACATGACAAATAAAAGTGGATAGAGGGAATATATAATAGCAAATTATTAATTCAAATTAAATGCTATAAATATACTTTGATTTAATGGTACTCTATAGCAAACTATTCACTTTATACAAAAATGCAAATATATAAAATGTGTTTGTATTTGTATAAAGTAAGAGAAAATTGTATATACACATATATTTTCTTCCCCTCTTCCAGATCTCGCTCACTCGCCTCTCTCACTTTATGCAAACAGAAACGAAATGTATAAATTGCACTTCTGTTTGTATAAAGCGAGAGAAAATTGTATATACACATGCAAATACATATATCTTCGTCATATACACTTATAATTATATAATACAAATATTTTCTTGCCCAGTTTTTTTTTGTCTTTCTCTCTTTCTCGTTTTATACATACACAGATTATACAATTGATCTTTTGTATACAACTGCTTTCTTTGTATATGTATAGCGAATTATACAACTGTTTTTTTTTATATATGTATAGCGAATTATACATATATATGTTTGCTATGCAGCACAATTATGCAAATTTTGCTATAGCATACAAATATGAATTTTGTGTTTGCTATATGTGAAAGTTGCTCTTTGAAAAATAACTTATATATCTAAAAGCTACGTAAAAAAAAACTCGCAAAAATTAATAATTTAACATATTTTAAATATACAAACAAATTTGATTCCATTTTTTTACTTAACTCTTGAAATTTGAACTAAATTACATAAGTTGTCTGAGACAGAGAGAACATTATTTATTTTTTTAAGTTAAGTTATTACTCGAGTATTCTTCGGTGAATTATTTTTAAAATTTTTTTTAGTTATGGTACTTTTTAATTGAATAGTTTTACGGATAAAATAAATCCGAATTCGGTATCATCTTTTAATCTAAAATTTGTTTTATTTAGTGGTTGATATTTGTGTTAGCGCTCGATTAAATTTAGATTCATGTCGGAAAATAATGTTGTAAAGTGTTTCGTAACAAAAGGTAACTTCATATCAAAATCTTTAAACCCAAAACTTCTGATTAATAATGAAGTTTTGTCTTAATTGTTGTTGGTTTGTTTTAATGAACTTCTGAGCAAATCAAGAGAACTTGTTGATTGCTACTCCATAGATCTATGTTGAACTTGTATCAAAACAATACAATAATTGAGGTATAACGAATCAACACATCGGAACAAAAACCAAGGCACTATAAATCAACATATAGTAACAAAACAATAGGACAATCGAGGTATAAAGAATCAACACATTAGAACAAAAACCAAGGCATTATGAATCAACACATAGTAACAAAACAATACAATAATCGAGATACAACGAATCAAACAAATAATAACATAAATCAAATTATAGGACAAAAAACTACACAAGCAATACTACGACCAAAACTAACAATTCAAACAATAAAAAGATAAACACATTGATAAAAAAAAGTCCCAATATCTACTTTCTCCACGTTAACACTATACACCTTCTTCACCCCTTCACATTCTTTTCTAAACTTGTCACGTGCCTCTTCCTCCGTTAACCTCACCGCTCCGACGACAGTCACGTGAGGTTCAAATTGGGTCCCACCAAATTCCGATCAATTTCTTAAACCTAACACTGACATCTTCCGATGGAATCGCCCAAACTGAATAAACTTCAGTTTTGTTGGTGTCTGCTTCGTTGAGTTGTACATTCTGCGTTGGATGTGGTACTGTGAGAATTGAATAAAAGAGTAAAAAATGGCTATGAGTCCAAGAAATGAAAGGAATTTGATGAAATGGATTTGAATAGTAAGGGGCTATGATTTAAATAATTTGAATAGTAGGAGCTACGATTTAAATAAGATTAGAAAGTGCTATCCAATTAATAGAATTCTTCACACATTAAAAGATTTTCACATAAATTAAACATACCTAATTTTTAAACATTTAAATAAATAAGTAAAGTAATTATTTCAAGTTTTAAATATCGATAAATATAAGAATTCAATAACAATAAAATATTTTAATAATAATTACGCAAATTCTGAGTACTAAAATATATAACTTTTTAGACAAGATTGACTAAAATTTTAAACATGTAATAAAAGGAAATATGTCCTAAAATACGTATGTAATAAATAGCAATTTCAAAAGGATTATAGGTCGATCAAAATTGGGTGTCAACGAATGGTCATATGTTTCTTTCATGTCTAGCCATACAACTTTGGTCAGTCTCAGCCGTCTGGTATTTCATCAATTTGAAAAAATAAATATAATAATAATGGAAGGAAAATAGTGAAAAGACAATTTTGTCTTCACCACAAGTATGACTAGGGGTCTCAAATGGGTGGGTTGGGTTGAATTGAAGATATTAAAAGGACAACTTTCACATATAGCAAACATAAAAATCATATTTGTATGCTATAGCTATAATTTGCATAATTGCGCTCCATAGCAAACATAAATATGTATATTTCGCTATACATATACAAAGAAAACAGTTGTATAATTAGCTATACATCTACAAAAGAAAGCAATGTATAATTTGTGCTTGTATAAAGCGAGAAAGAGAGAAAGACAAAAGAAAACTGGACAGGGGAAGATTGTATTTGTATAATCATAAGTGTATAGGACGAAAATATATGCATTTGTATTTGTATATACAATTTTCTCTCGCTTTATACAAACACAAACGCAATGTATACATTTGTGTTTGTATAAAATGAGAGAGGCGAGTGAGAGTGGCGAGCGAGATTTGGAGAGTGGCGAGCGAGATCTCGGAGAGGGGAGAGAGGGGAACGAAAATATATGTAT